CGTCTTGTTTACGCCAGGTTGCAGAAGGAGTTGACGTAATAGCCTGTTAAAAAATTAAAAACGCGTATTATAGTCATACGTATCCTGACTGTGTCTATGTTTTGTTAGCTCTGACTATGAATGTGGTTTTCGTCATGTTTGATCTCAGCTATGCTAGCGTACACCATGGATAACCTAAAATGATGGCCCAAGATGAGACAGTGAAACACTTGACATTAAAAGATACTTAACCTATTAACCTAACCCAGCCCAACCAAGCTGGACATCTATAATCTAATGGCCCGTCAGTGACAAAAGGGAAATGCACTCACCTATATAAATACTGCGGCCGATTCCCTGTCACCAGCAAGATGCCAATATCCTCACGCCATGTCTCCTAGCAAGGATCACGTTTTATAGGATGATATCGCATTCATACTCTCATTATAATTTTAAGTAAAAGTTAAGATGTTGCACTGACTTTAACGGTCCAATTTTAAAGATGTTTTAGTTAACTATTTCAGACACCAACTACCACCATAGATAGTACCACGCACTCCCTATCTTGTACCTTCTTAGGTGCACTAACTCAAACATACCATCTTCGGAGTAGCGGTATTTGTTGAGAAAGGGTTGTCACAAGAACACAAATCCCCATATCCGTCATAAGTGTCACAAAAATGTTTCCTCTTTTCCCAAGTGCCACCCGTCGGCCAGTCTTTGCAGAAACGCTCTGGGGAAAAGAGAAAAAAATATTTGGAATAGAATAAACGTATTTTTTTCTCTTTTATACACACTGAGTCCCAAGTGAAGCATCTGAAGATATGTACCTGTGGCATTTACCGCTGGCATCTGCAGGGATAAGTACAGAGGCGGCGGGAGTGTTTCGACTCCTTCCCGGTTGGTGACGAGTCCTTCTGCTAAGGTCGCTCCGCCCGCCTGCCATACCCACGCCCAAAGGTCGCGGAATTTGAGGTGTTGTACTGCGAAGGATCCGAATTCCTCAATGGCGTCCCTCACTGGTGATTCAAAGTGTCCGGTTACGTCGTACTGAAGAAAACGAATCATAGAGTCTGTCGTGAATATTTGCTACCGAATAGTAGAAGCAAGAAAGTAACGGCGAAGTAGCGATAAGAAACGAATGTACATGTAATTAATCTTTCAAAAATGCATAAGAACTATTTACGAATCTTGAAGACACACATATCAGTTCAAACTCATGATTATACAGTGCCATGAGGATCCACAGCGAAGAAATACATCAGAAGGAAAACTGAAGCACCCACAAAGGAAGCGACGATGGCAATTCGACCGTTCTTGAGGTTCTGTAAGTTCTCTAAGAATTCTTTGTCCATGAAGTAGTCGGTTGAATAGTACTTGCTGAAGGTAAGCTGTCGAGTGTGAGGATTGATGACTCGAAGGTGAAGTCCAGTGTAGGGGAGGATGGGTACCCACTTCCCCACTTTCACTCCTCCCTCTAAATACTGGAACAACAGCTGAGAAAAGGCAAAAATACAAAACTCAAGAATACTGCAAGGACGAATATCATATTTATTCAGTTCTAGTATATCCTAATATAGGCAGTATGAAAAAAATGAATTGTTTCGTAGTTTGCAATTGCTTAAAACCTTATTGAATGCGAACAAAATCCGCTGTCAGTAGACAAGCACTTAGTGGAGGAGACTCGCCCATTGGAGCTGCTTGTATTTGACTTGTTTGACTTCACGAGTTTATAGTTTTCAGTAATTTGTAGTTTGATTACATTAATACTGGCATATGTTTTGGGAAAATTTAAATAATTCTTGGATTTCCTTTGTCATTTAATACAAGAGCTAGCTGGAGGGTCTTTGTCACATCTGATAATTAATAATAGATTTTTAAAAATATAATTTGAGTACGAAAATTCGTTCCTTCTCAAGTTTACTTGTAAACTTATAGTTACTTTTCTCAAGACTAACTAATTACATAAAAAAATATTTCTTATAATTATTTTTTGGGTATTTCCATTTAATGATTACTTTTCATTATTATCTTTAATATTCCTGTGTGAAGATTGCATTGACAAAGTCCCTCTATTCTATTTATCTACGAGTCATGAGGAACTGAGTAAATAAGATTTCGTAAGTGGATGAGTAGTGCATATTCTCAGAAATGCGAACCTCTGTGGAATTATTTATGAATATGTATACGTACTGTATTGTTATCAAGGTGGATACTGGCTTCCATCACACCCGATTTCAAGGATATGTTTGCAGGATTTGGGTTATACGCAGGAATTAAGGACCAATCCAGAGTCACATTTTCGGGCACCAGATTAGGGTCATCTGGGAGAAGAGAGTCAGATTTATGTAGTGTTTGATATGACTAAACTATGGTTATCATTAATCTTACATTTTCAAAAGTTGAATATTTTCACCATATCCTTAATAATGATGATAATAATGAAGGTAATCATAATGGTAATGTGATGATGATCATAATAATAATACGATGGTGATCGTGATTATGAGGATGACGATAATGATGATAATCATAAAAAAAACAATAATAACAACAGGACAAACCTTCAAAATCATCAAGAGTGATATTATTGAAGTCGCCAACCCGAACCGACCAAGTCTTATTGTCAATCGTCAGATACGAGTACGTTAGCCCCTCGAGCTCCATCTTCAGGTCTAGATGCAGAGGAATTTTCTTTCCTTTCACTTCGATCTCGTCTACCTAAAGGAGATGTAAGAGGTATGTGATTAATTGATTATTTGAATTGATTGACTGGTTTATTTTCTCGTATATATTGTACTGTTATTATATTCGTTGATGTCAGTATAGGCTTTAACTTAACCCATTGGCCACGGATTTATGTTCTGTCCCCTGTTGGTTTTGGTGAATTTTTCTACCTACAGATGGCTCCACATGTACTCAGCCGGCAAGGAGTCTATCAGTAGGCCCTAGTTACCGACCCTGATTTTCCCATTCATTGAATTGGCGGGAAAATTAATATCATTGCTTTCGATGCTGTTATTATTGTTACTGATATTATGATGATTGAATTGTCATTAGAATATTTTTGACAATAAGATGATACAAAAAACCCTTTCCGAAAGTGAAGGAAAAGGCTAAACAGGTGAAATAGGTAGTTCTTGATAACTGGCTATTTGGTAATTAAGAACTTGTAGAGCCATCTATGTGTAAATACAATAAATAAACGTGTATCAAAGTGGGTATGGCATCTATTCTTGCCATCCGCGGCGAATGGGTTAATAGCCTGATTGCTTTTACAATTCCACTCTTATTAACAGATATTCTGATCATAAGTATTTGAATTTATCCTAAAGCATCAGTACACACATACAGCTGGTCGAATAATTATCGAGCTTCAGTTTTATCAAGTAATACTGTACATTCCCTATTTTAATCTCCTGATCGAATGTTAATGCCTTCACTAATATAACAATAGAAACCCTTTTCTTAAATAAACAATGTAAAGAAAGAAGTGTAAGTAAATTTTGTCTCATATATTTTAATATTTGAAACGAAATTTATATGAAAGCAAATAATAAAACAAAGAGATTCTATGTCTCTATTTTTTATTCGAATGTTAATGCCCTCAATAATAATGATAATAATAATAATAATAATAATGATAATAATAATAATAATAACAATAAAATTATATAAATATAAAAGCATGTGATATAATATCTTCTGTATATATTTCCATTTCCATTTCCAAAAGTTGATTACCATTTAAAGTAAATGTTTGTTTGTCCAAAGGGCGAAAACAAGTATTCCTTATTTATTTTATCTCCCTTGTTCGGTCATTAAACGATTGTGTAACATGAATTATAGTGATTTGTTAAGCGCTTAGCCTAAATTGTTATCGATCTTTATATCTTATGGAAAAAGGAATTGAAAAAATAATACTAGATAATAATATCGCATGCCAATATGTGGTTATTTACTATATATATCTTTTAAAGTATACATAACTTTAAGAGGGGAAACTTTAGGCGGAAAAGTATCATATAATTTTCCAGCGCTTTTTTGTCTTAGCAGGAGACCATCAGCTGCTTATTTCCTTATTACCTCTAAATTACGTAGAACTTGATTATATAAGTTACTAGGGTGCTTCATGGCTGAACAAGGGAGAAAAAAATATGAAGAAACATGCATGGCTTATATTATTTCCCGTTTTTCCAACGAACGAGCTATCAGGGCAAAACGGTAATTAATGTGTAAATGATATGCAAAGGGAAAGGCAAATATAGGCAACAGACAATTATATGAAAAAAATAATTGTTTTTATTTCTATTCTTATTATTTTTTAAATAAATTTCATGGGGGTTTTGTCCTTTAGCGAGAATACGCAGTATAACTTAGTGAGGGTATTAGCATTCGATTAGAAAATTAAGATAGGGATTGTCTGTCTCTTCACTTATGCATTTAATTTTGAATATTGAAATACATGTGGCAAAATTTATTTTATGGGATTACTAGCGCTACCAGATAAAATCCCAGCTCGATAACCATACGGAGGTCACGAATTTATTTGGCCAGCTGTTCCCCCTCCCCCCTCCTCATAACCACATTTACCCCCCAATCATAATTCTCATAAAGCTCATTTCTCACCTCGTCGTGAGAATTGAGATGAACGTTCCCATTTGACATCTCCTCCGCCGTCAGGTTAAACCGCTTCAGATTTTCATCGTTCGTCTGGAAAGTCTTGTAGATGTCCACGCTCCCGGGGTTGTGGATGGTGAGGTTGATTAGCACATACCGCCCGTCAGCACCGATGCTGCTCCATGCAACCGTTGCCGCCAGCAGCCCCACGAGCGACGGTGCAATGTGGAGGAGGCTCAGGCGAGCTCTGCCAGAGGAGAAAGTTTCTTTTCATATATATCAGGGCCGGATCCTGAATCATGAGAAATGGTGGGCGTAGCCACTTGTGGAAGAGTGGAAGAGTGTGAGCGTCAAAAGGGGGTCTGGGACCTCTCCTAGAATAAAACGAAAATGTATGTTTC